TCATACGAAAACTATAAATAAGCGATGACTTAATATATCTAGTAAGCAGAAGTTTCTCCATCGTAAACACGTTTGATGAAGCTCTGTTATAATTTCAATTTCAATTAAATAAATTAAATTCTACAGTTTCACAGCTTTAGACGAAATGAAAAGAAACGATACTTTGCAACGCAATGTTTAAACACGGCTGATTGAAAACAAGGAACATTCATTGAATATGTAAGAGAGCAAGATGTTAAGGCCATCGTTTTTTCTACTCCTAGCGATCTCAATGATTCTAACGCAATATCTTGGTTCAACAGAACCGTTTTTTCTAACTGGCGTCAAAGTGACCGAGTTACGAGCCGCTACTCGTTAACACCGTTAAAGGATTAACTCTCGCAATTAACCCCTTGGAAGTTTAAATCGTTCGCTTTTGGAACGATAGATTCTTTTCCTAGAATTTTGTTTTTCTAGGTGACCGTTTATTTGCATCGATGATAATCGTGGAATTTATGTTTTCAGAGAATCCAATAGGTACCTATGGATTCCTATTACAACACATCCTTGTATTAATTTTTCAGATCTCCTTTATCAGGAGCAGACCCCCAATGCAAGATTGTAGAACGAACGTCCTACTATCCCCAGGATCCAAACAAGAGGCCAAAAACTAGGAGAGAGAAGGTTCAGGCATGTTTGAGGCACAACTCACTGACTATGCTCACCGTTGGTGGTGTGGTCGGCGGTGTAATCCTTGGTATCATACTGAGAAACATGCGGACGCAAGGATGGACAAAACGCGAGATTATGTACATCAATTACATTGGAGATCTGTTTCTGAGGATGCTGAAGAGTTTGATCTTGCCATTGATCATATCCAGTTTAGTCTCGGCTATAGGATCTCTTGATTTATCACTCAGTGGCAGGATTGGTGCTCGTGCTATCGTTTACTACATGGTGACCACTATTAGCGCTGTTATTCTTGGTCGGTGGATGCTTGAAGCTCAATTTTCTGATAATTAAATTGATGCGTCTTGTAACTATCTTGAACAATCCTTTCAGGCATCATTTTGGTAATCACGATACAGCCGGGGGTAGGGAACAACCCGGATATCAAAACGAAAGAACATTCACAGAACGTGTCCACTGTTGATACTTTGATGGATCTGGTGCGGAATATGTTTCCTCCGAATCTAGTGGAGGCTTGTATCTCTCAGCATAGAACTGAAATGCAGAAACCCCAAAACGCCAGTTCAGGTGAAGATGAATATGTATATATGTGTAGAATCCATCCATTATATCACAGCCAGTCCATCATCATCTCTATGATTCTAATTGTTTAACATAGTTGACATGGACAACTGGGAGCTAGTACAAAAGAGCGTCTCTGGGACCAACATCATGGGTTTAGTTGTCTTTGCTACAGTTCTAGGTATCACCCTAGGAAAAATGGAGCAACAAGGAAAACCACTGCTTCATTTCTTTGAGTCACTATCTAGTGCAATGATGTTGATTACTCACTGGGTGATTTGGTAAACGAATACTTGGAGTTTTTCTTTTCAAATTACTTCAGAAGATAAACATAATCTACTATAATTCTCCTTCTGCAGGTTATCACCCATAGGTGTCTTCTTCTTGGTAGGTGCAAAGATTACAGAGATGCAATCATTAGACGAAGTCGTTGCTCAGCTTGGAATGTATTTCCTCACCGTCTTGATCGGTCTCTGCATACATGGTTTCATAGTTCTACCGATTCTCTACTTCGTCTTAACGAAGAAGAATCCATACGTGTACATATCCAACATGGCACAAGCGTTGGTCACTGCCTTCGGTACATCATCCAGTTCTGCTACCCTTCCAATCGCTATTAATTGTCTGGAAGAGAGAAACAACATTGATCCTCGGATTACCAGATTTGTTTTGCCCATTGGCGCTACCATTAACATGGATGGTACTGCTCTGTACGAAGCTGTAGCTGCGATTTTCATTGCTCAAGTACGACAAGTTAGCCTTACCTTTGGTCAGCTGGTAGCAGTGAGGTAAATGAAACAATACCGAAGATATAAGATATTAGGATCAAAGTAATATATTATGGCATTTGTCCCAGTATCACAGCAACTGCTGCAAGTATTGGAGCAGCTGGAATTCCTCAAGCAGGTCTTGTGACAATGGTGATGGTGCTGGATACTGTTCGCCTCCCAGCTGATGATGTCTTCCTGGTTATTGCTGTTGATTGGTTGCTGTAAGTTTCTATCTTCATCCTCTCTTCGCAGGTTGAAGAAAAAAAGAAACGGTAGACATAGTGTATATTGGTTCTTTGAATTTCCAGAGACCGCTTTAGAACAACGGTGAACGTGGTGGGTGATTCACTCGGGGCTGGAATCGTGAACCATCTGAGTAGAAATGAGCTTGCATCGTTATCACATAACACACAGACCCAGAATGGAGCAGATCATCATACAACAACATCTATATGAGATTGAGATCGGTATTAATTGTTAGAATTCACTTGTCACGATAGCCGAAACGTTGCGCGTTCGCTTTCTTCTTCGACAGTTAAATGTTACACATTCCCAGGATAACTTGAAATTTATTGAACGAAGACGAAACTCTGTAAGCATAATAATATCTTCAGCAGTAACGCTGGTACCTCGTGTAGCTACTCAAGAAGTGATTTTGTTGATTGTTTTACGATGTTCTGAGGAAAGGAATGTTTTATATTTAACTTAATCTAATTCCAGCTTCGTTCAATTAGGATAAAAAGATAATCGAAGGATCTGATCATGTTTTAATGGTCGTGTTCAGTTGGTTGTATGATAAGTTGCTAATTCCTAGATTTGGTTTCCAAGTTTTGTTAAATTTCCATAAAACACAATTCTTGTCTGAATCTTCTAAGTTTCAGTATAGCTGGTTAATTAAGAGGGATTTTGAAAATCTTCTATTCTTGAAGTAACATTACATGTATAATGTTATACGCCTATACATGTACAATGAACATATTACTGCCTATGTGTTCTAATTTATTCTAAAAGTATTCTTTTTTTTATCTTGTTATTTTTGAATTTATTCATGACGAAACATCATTCTCTTCTTGCGAACTTGAGATAAAGAAAGGGAAGAGATGCTTTAATCAAAGTTGCAATGCAAATATTTGATTCCAACATTTTTTAAATTAAAATAACACATGATTTCTAGGAACATACTTGAGATGTGTCAAATCCAATTGTACATGGTTGATTTAGGCACAATATTAGTACCAATGATAGCTGTGCATACTAAACTATGATCCGTATTTTAATCTTTGTCTTCCATTGCTACAGTATGACCTATGATAGCATAATTTACTGTTAGTGCAATATAATTCAGTTAACATAAATTGACATAAGTAAAACTTAATAATAAAACATGTAGAGCCTAAATTTTAGACCAGAGAGTTATAAAATCATCTTCTAATTAATTTTTAAATACAAAATAATTATAAATGTGTTCAATTTTCATTAGATTTGTATGATTATAAAGAGATGCAGAAGAGAAGTTGTTTCATGCTAGTAATATCTTGTAGAAATTATAAAAATATTATGGTATTTGAAATACCTCACTGCACTAGACAGAAAGTGTTCAACTAATAACTAGAAAGTAAAGAAATGTATTTTATTACTCTTTAACAGAAATACTAAACAATTATTATATATATTCCTTTATACAGTTACATTGGTGCATGCAGTGAATGTAACTGGATAGTCAATTTATATTTTTAATTTATTTGCTATATTACACTTTATATAGGTATAACTTAAGTTAATTAAGTTGAAAGATAATTAAGTACTATATTACATTTACTTTGCAGTAACATTGACATATTCTTCTTTAATTCTTGTTCAAAAACATTTATGAGACTTCACTGCAGAAGAAAATTGAACAATTGTATACTTATGTATACAAATATGAAAACAATACAAAATAATAATTAATATTCAGAGCTTGTACACACATATAATAATTGAATAAAGTTTTAGGAAAATTTTGATTCAAATATTATTTGGGATACTACACATTATGGCACATTTTGGAAGCATTATATTGTTTATTTTTTCAACCAGCTAATTTGATTCTTTATATTGTCATGCTTTTTCTTTTTACAAAACTAATAATTAATGATTAACAGCCAGTTTGAATTTGATTAAATAATTTTTTATTTTATATTCTGTAAAATTAGTTGTATGTAGTGAATGACTATGAATGAATTGCTAAAAGGTTCAGAACTATAAGTTAGCTTTTTCTTATGTCACAGTTCTATAAAAAATTTATCAATACATTAACTTTTTTATTCTTTCTTTTTTAATTTTTTACTTAACCCTTTTGAAATAATAATCAAATCTTCTTAATGCCTGGCACTCTAACTAATTTGTGATGAAGTAATTAGTGTCTTAATTGCGATAATACAATGTAATGTTTATTAATTTTCAACAATATATATCAATTTAGGGAAAGCTAACTAATACCATATTGCCCAACAGCAACCCAAGTTATGGGATGTGTTTAAAGTTAAGGCATGATTCAAACAATTGTTTGTATTATCATAATTAATCTTGTGAATTGATGTACAGTTACACTTTGTAATCAAATTCTGAGTAGAATTTATGTACCTGTACGTAATTAAGTAATGCCATAGTTGCTTAAAAATATGCTGTATAATATTTATTTGTACAATAAATGTACAAACTGACAATAACAATAAATTTATTGCTTACTTCTAAACAAATGTCTGAAATACTTGAACTTTTCAGCCGTTTTATTTCAGCAAATGATATATCATCACTATTGTGCTAACAAAATAATTCTTATCACAGTGAAAATGTGCTTTTGTAACATGATTGAAAATAATAGATTTTGTAATTTTCAGACACCAATTTTTCTTTAATATTTAACATCATTTGTTCCTTCTCTCCATCTTGTAGGAGGTATTCAGGTGAACTTAGAACATGAAATAATTATTTAAGATACCTATTGAAAACTGTTTATTTCAATTCTAATACTGTCTGTGCATAATTTATTTTTATTTGGTTTATCAATTACATTTCAATTTGCGTGTTTCCATGAGTTAATCGTAAGTGGCAGTTACAAAAAAATAAATCTATCTGGAATCTTGGAAATTTGAAATGTATATACTACAAAAGAACTTTGAAATAGTATTAAAACAGTAATATTGCAAAAATTTCTGTCACGTTTTAAACATAAAGGACACTTCTATTTATTTATTTGGTCACCTACTCTATTGTCTTAATTTCAAAAAGATATGCAAAAATGATCTATGCAGTAGACTGTTATTGGATTTATTGCAAATTGATCATGGTTTTACGCACGTATAATTAAAATGCTTAACACAATATGACTAGATAAAATGCACTTTGTTATAATACTTCAAAGTAAAAAACATACTGAAAAGAGGAAATACAAATGTAAAAAGCTGTGATTAGGAAATTTTTGCAAAAGTTTGCAAATTCTATTTCTTCTATATGCATAGCAACTAACATTGCTATATTTTCTATGCAAACATAAATGTTTGATGCCATTTCTTTAAAACTGAGACCATGTTATCCTAACATCTCTCGTTATTTTACAAATGTAAATGGGACAGCAAATATATTTTCGTTATTTAATACGATAGCTAATAATCACGGACGTCTGAATTAATAGCTATTAATTTGTTTGATAAAAAGCACTTTCGATGGCATTGAATATATATCAAAAACTTCTGTACTAAATGTTAGGTGACCCCATAAAATGAAGTTTCGTTTTGCAATGCAATTTCAAATTATCATTCCTTCCTTGATTATTCAGAAAGGTATGATAGTATTTAAAATTGACAAATGCACGTTTATAAAGTCTTAAAATTTCAAACAGGCATTGTTATGTACATAATATAAACAATTCGCTATAGTATTTACAAAATTAAAATAGTTTATACGTTTCGCTTAATATTAAACACCTATAAATCACAATTGTTATCGATCTCGACAGTGTGTAAAATATTGTTCGTACCTCGGTAATAAATTGTGCTCAATAATGTGTAAACGTCGACAAAGAACGATTTCAATGTTTAGTTCAAGGAAATTCCTTGTATCCACGAACTGAGATCGCTTGTGTCTTCACAACTGAGACTCAACAAATTTTTCTCATTCTTTTGCGATTCTAGAAGTGCTTGGGCAGCAGTTCGGCCAGTTAAATATGCTCCATGTACAGTACTATAAAAGGAAGAATGTGTATGTTCACCTGCAAATGCTACAGCAATTTTTGTAGGATCATCCTCTTGAAATATAGGCTCAGCTAAACGATTAATATCTAATTGACTTGCTCCAACAGCCATAGCAGTGTAGGAACCGCGCGTATACGGCTGTGAATGCCACGACGTGTGCAAACAATTCTTTGGTGCCGGCACAAATGGATCGTTAAGAAATCTTCTCAATATTGATGTGCATACATCTGCGACTTCTGCACCACTTAACTTCTCCATATATTCAGCAGCCTTTCCTGATATCCATCCCAACAACAAAGTTTCTGAAATTTTCGTAAAAGAATATATCTTCCTAAACCACGTTTTACTAACATCTTGTTTCTCCTCTTCTGTCAATCCTCTGTCATCCCACAAAAGCATAACTTCGGATACGCCAGGATTCAAAAATGGTCTCTCATATTCCAAAAATATTTTATCTACAGTACCAAACAGAAGTCTATCTATGGCTTCAAGTTTGTAATTTGGTAGAGGCGGTTCAAATATATCGTTAGCATTTTCCTTAAGTACTCCTAATGGCAATGTACAAATTACTTGTTCTGCTAGGATTGTTTTTCCATTTCCACACTGTATTTCGATACATGTATTTGTATTACTGGGTGTATTATTATCGTTATTTGCATTGTCCGCACATTTCTTTCTTTGCCACCTATAATTAATATTCTATGAAAATAAAAATTGATTTTCTTCAAGCTTCTTAAAATGTAAGGAATGTCAATTTTTCTTTACCTTATTTTAGTAACTACGTGTCTAGTTAAAATGCTAGTTTTTGGTATGTGTTTTGCAACTGGTTCCAATATAGCACTGTATCCATCTGGAAGACTAATATTTCCACCCTGAAGTTCTGCATAAGAGCCCATTTCCAAGAGATCAACATCTTCCATGCTATCACAGCCAGTAATACAGGTCTCTCTTTTAAGTAAACAATCAAACAATAGTTGTCTAATTTTTCTTTCTTCAACTGGTAACGAGGATAAATAAATTTCAGCTTCCAGTGCTACGTGTGCTCCAACACTGGTTATACCATCTGGAGGGCTATAAGAGCTTAGAAAGTACTCTTCACATCTTCTTAGAAAACATACATAAGCTTCATAAATTTCTTGTAAAACTGGAAAAGGCAATTGTTTTCCATCTTCCATAGCTGCTACTACTTTATGAGGCCTTGGTACACGTACGATATTTATTAATCCATTTGCCATTGCTAATTCAAACATTGGATTTCCTAATACTCCATGAATCCAGTTTGCTCCTAATTCTACCTTCTCATTGCCTGTATTAAAAAGCATATCATATCATAGCCTATCATACTCTATTTACAATTTAATTTTAAATTAGAATCTTAACTAAAACACAATAAATTTTTGGCATTTAATTCTAACATATAAAATATTCATTAGAAGAAGTAATAGATTTCTGTGATTACGATCAAAAACTAAACTGAGTAATCGAATGCTTATTGATTATTAACAAAATTTGAAAATAGGTTAAGTAAAAATTTACCGAGTTTTATGGCAACGATCCGACCACCTATCCGGCCTCGCGCTTCGACAATCAAAAAATCAGTTTCGTGATTTTTTAGTAAGTGATTCGCGGCCGATAATCCGGCCATACCAGCGCCAACAATTAAAATTTTACACTTAACTTTATCATCTTCTGCCTTCTTCGTAGATTCCGCCATGATCATACCATATCAGCTGTCAATGCTAAAACGTACTTGAACAGCTTATTAAAATTTATTTGCAGAAAATTAGGCACGAATATATCTCCATTTCAACAATTTCATTTTCTAGCAGGATTATTTTAAGATTCTTTATAAGAAAATAAGGGTACTTAGGACTTTTCGATGTCTTCGACTTTCAAGCGCATCAGAGAACACGATACACATTTCTAATTACTTTTTTTTATCACTTGATTTTTTACGTGCCTCATTTTAAATTAAATATCTGAACATTATATTATTCGTTTAATAAGAGACCATACCTCTTATACGACGAGTTTTCGTTCGTTTTATAGTATTTTTCACGAGAAAATAATACCATCAGATGAACGAATTTTAGTTTTGTTTGCGCATGTTGGCTCTGATTGGTTCTCTGCTACCAAGGTAACGCGCAAGCGCCGTATGGCTGTAAGCAGTCGTAAGCCACGCTGGGCAGAAAGTATATTCGGTGATCATGAACTTGTAAATTATGATTCATTACCTTTGTCGTTTAATAAGCCGTTCCGTTCCTATATTAGTATATTTTGTCCACCGTATATATGGCGGATGCAATAGAAAGTAAGTCATGTTGGGATAGCGCTACTGGTTAGGGAACTTTCTGAGCTCAGTCGAGCTGCGCGAAGTAATACTATTCTCTCGTGAAAAGTACTGTACACATTGTGGCACTCGCCAACATATCCAGTTGTGTTATGTTTACGTTTAGTCAGCTTTCGACCTTCGATGTTATTATTTAATTCCTCTATTCATATATTTTCATCTAACGTGTGTATAACCACGAAGTTAAAAGTAAGATTAGTAAGTAAGAATAATACAATGAATTATTTAAAATATACAAAGCATTCTCCTACAGAACTCTTTTATTTACTGAAATCTCAGATGTTCGTTGAGTTACAAATTTTGGCTTGTCTCTCAGTTTGAACTGTATGTTATACTATTAACTTAAATATTCTAGATCTATTGTATATAAATTTTTGCAGTCAAGACAATTTACTGATGTTATACTTAATTTGTATATTTGGTTCATTGTTTTAAACAATTTTCGAAAGAGTAAAATAAACATTACAAACTGTGTTCGCAATCTTTTAGCATATAAATTTATGTTTACATATATTACAATGCAAGCAATAAAAAGTAAGATTCTGCATTCTTAACATACATGGATTTCGTTTTTTACATTTTTAATAACAAATATATACATTTACATGTTGATCATACTGACTACAAATTCAAAAGCTGTAACTAAATGTTCTTATTGTAAATTCTTGGTATAATCCTTGTTTATCCACATATTTCTCTGATATTTTAGCTTCCCTGCAGTATTTTTTCAACAAGATGTAATTTAACATGATTATAAAGTAGTTAAAACATAAACATGTTGAAATTGTACAAAAAAAATGAAATTTGCAAAAATGTACATGTATCAAGAGAAATTTTTGTATATATTAATTATTGTTAATCTTTTCAAGAAACGAAATCTATACAGTTACAGTAGGATAGATATAATATTTAGCTTTTATACATATGTACAGACTATTATTAGCAACTACACAGAACTTATTCACACATGTTATAAATATCATAATAAGTTTCTTCTCATTTACTAGAATCTTGAATGAGTTGAAATTCATATCAATAACTATCAGCTTTGAAGTACCGAATTCATACAAAAACCTTAGAATTGGCAAAGCACGCTAACAAGCAAGTGTAAGGTAAAATATAATAAGAAATTATTTTTCAGATACCACAAGTAACAATAAAACAAATATATTTACATAATAACAAATAAGGGTATTTGATTTTGATTTGTGGCGCACATTTTCTTATCTAGGCTTCTTTATAAAATTTATACCTACATGTGACATACAAAACATGTAGTATCTATTTCTTCCAATAGAAGATATAAATAAGTGAGTTTCAGAAACCATAGGATAAAAGCTAATATAACTTAAAGACAATTGAAATTACTTAACTTTAAATTCACAATGTTTTCCTTGCTGAATAATGTGCTTGAACATGATTCCATATACTTTACAATATACGCGTGGCTTTTATAGATTAGTACTTGGTTAGAAAATATCCTCTTCTCATTTCAAAAGATCTATTTCGATAGCTCCACGAGTCTGTAAATTGTACATACATTTCGAGCATACAAACAACGCGGCCTTTATATTAAAACGGTTAACAAAACGAATCCAAGTTTCAATCGTCAAGTATATAAAAAATCAATTCAAGCACAGTGTGTGTATCCTGACTGCTTTGTGCTGCTTTATGCAGGACTTGAATTAGCTCGTTGTCCAAACTGTTCATGTAGATTGGCGGTAGTTTCATACCTTCACTACCTGCTTCATAACCCACCTAATATTTATAACATAATTATAATTTTATTTCCTTAGAAGAAATTGTATTATTTAGACGAGCATTATAATTAAAAATTATAATTATAACCTACATTATCAGGATGAACGGTTGTTCGTACACCAAGTTTAGTTAAGCCAGCATTAGCCAGAAGATCCAGCAACTTCACTAAAGCTGTACATGTTGCTTTTGCTATATTTCCCGATAATTTATTTATATCCACTGGGTCGTGAACGCCATTTGGATGATCATCAGACTTTAAGAAACAAAAATAATTTGAAAAGCATATAATTTAAAATTACAGAAAATTAAACTAATATCTGAACACACCTTAATAATAAATACTTCCGTCCAACGAATAAACCTACTCGTTCCTTTATAATCGGTACCATTATGTACCCTAATCGATGGAATACCATCCATTTGCTGTCCATCAATGGGACTTTTAACTCTAGAATTAAATAAAATGACATTTTATAACTCTAAAATCAATCAATATGTAGAGCCAAAATAACTAGAACGATATTTACCCTAAGTTGAATTGCAAATCATTATCGACCCATTTTATATTCACCGTTTCATCCGGTTCGAGTGCTCCTTGTCGACCGCATCCAATTGAAAAATCTTGCATATTTTTTAGAGCAGCTTTTAAGGCTTCCATTTTTTCTGGCATTATCTCTACCATTAACCCATCCTCTACTATACTTGACTTTGCTGAAAGACCCATTGATGACTTCAATGCTCCGTTAATGACGATGAAACTTGTACCCGTCACTAAATCAAAGATTTAGAATTAATAAAAAAAATAATAATTATACATTTTAATCAATTTTTTCCCATATTCAGTATCAATGAAATACACACCCGTTCTTGGTTTATTATTTATACTTATCGCTTGTGTTTGGTAACTGCTTTCATCACCTGTATTGGTTTGAATACAAACTAAATGCGAGTCGGCAGCTATGCTGAAGTTTGAGGCGTATGCTAATACATGATCGTTTGAATTATTTAACCCTTTGATCACTTGATCGTAGCGATTCTTTGGAAACATTACATCAGTCATTCTATTCCTTAAATGAATGGTCAATCCTCTTACACCTGGTAACGTGTATCCAAAGTTTCTGAAATCTGCCAACACTTTCATAACCGTATGTCCGATTTCAAAGTACAACGCGTCTCGAAACCGAACAGAAAATAAGGGACAGGGATAGTAACGATACTCTGCTCCAAGGCGTAAAACAAGACGTAACGGAAATACCTTCGCCCATGGAGTTTCCCATCTAAAAATTGAGAAGAGACGAATTACAATTCATAATCGTTAATTGAACTTTCGATAAAACAAACCTGTGAACTAGAAGACCAAACAAGAACGGAGCAGGAGGTAATACAATTTTTTGTAAGCATTGTAGGGTTTGACGAATGAACAAAAATCCTGCATGCTCTCGAGAACCTAACAGATTGCCTCCCTGGCACACTGAGAATCCCAACTCGGATACAGTATTACCTACATTAAGATTACAATTGCAAATCAAATAAATAAATTACAATGCAATTAGAATAAACTGTAAGCAAAATTAATGAACCTTTAATAGCTTCTAGGTACAACTGATTAATGAAGATGAGCAGATCTTTTGGTATCTTGGTTTCATCAGGTAAAACTTCCACTAATAATATAACTTCGTCCTGTCCAACGCAAGCCAGTCCTTTTGATGTGATGTTCCAACACGTTTTATTTATACAGCAATTTACTATAAAATTGAACTGATTAATATTTATTTTAAACTTAACATTCCAAGTACAGTAAAACCTCTATAAGTCGTCATTTTCCTTTCCTCAACATTTTAAAATTTACATGGTTTTTACTCCGTTTAAGTCATCAAAATTTCTCAGTCCCTTGAGTGACGACTTATCGTGGTTTTACTGTATTTCAATTTATACTTACAAGTCAATATTTTAACACAAGCATAGAGATTCCGGTTAATTGCGAACATGATAGGTGGCTCACATTCATTTTTCAGTGTTCTGTACAGGAGACCCTCGTCCGTTACAGCATGATAAGATACTTCTGTTTTGTTAAATGAAAATCCGTATAGTATTAACACAGGTTTGATGTATCGTAAGCAGTATTATTACTTACGCCCTTTATGTATCGTTACAGTTGGTGGAAGGACATTAGGATCCTGTGGCACGTAACTTTCAGTGGCTGGATCCAAACGTGGCAAGTTCTGTCGTTTGGCTGAAGTATTTGGTGCAGAGGATCCAGGTGTTGGTATCCTCTTGTTTCCTGACTTCCGGTAGGGTGGTTTCAAATCCCAGGACATGTCTAATTCTGTCAGGTCACAGCCAGGCCTTATTCCTGTGTTTTAGTTAGAGGTGCATAAAACCAAAACAAACAGGAGGGAGCAGGTCCAGTGACAGGGTTAAACGTTTTATGGGGATAAAATAAATGAAAAAATCATACTGGATATGGGAGTGTAACTTCAACTCAAAAAACTAAAAATGCAGTAAGGTGTGTTAAAGTAGAAATCAAAATGTAGTGTTATTGCACAAAGATGCAATTGTGTGATATTACATGTTAATTACATGTGTAATTATAAAATGCTTCAAAATTCCCCATAGCATATTACGCCTGGTAAACAAACTTTATTATAAATCAATTTCAATGTTTATGAAATATTCAAAAATCAAAATATTTATTTATTCTTAAGCTTTTGAATAAATCTAAGCATCGTATATTAGCACATTGTTGACCGGTCACGAGTTAACTCGTGTTTGCACTTGCATTATCTATTTCAGTTTATGAAACCCAGGGCATAAAATAATAGTCGGTGATATGAGATAGTTTCTGTGTAAAATTACCGGTCAACAATTTGTTAGTAGAATTATTGTTGTATGGAAAATTTTACCTACCATCACTGAACATGACCGACTTTGAAACTTCAGGCCGACTCTTTGTACCACCTTCCCTTTTGAGAACTCCAACAGGTACCATAACAGTGGGTGGTGGTGGTAATCCGCCAGCTAACTGTTGCAAGGGTGGTATAGTTGAACAGTACTCCATGGGATTATTTGGATTAGGCTGTCTCCCCTATAACCATTTGTCGAATACTCCTAACATTCACGTTTATTTCTTTATCCAGCAAACACAGATTATATGTATGGAACAGTATAATATCCCTTAAATCATTATATTTAATTAATTCAATCAAAATCACTTCCAATCAAGAAAATTATTCTGTGCTTACTGGACAGTTACTACAATTAATATACAAAGCAAGCAAGTAATTTTTTACAAAAAATGCTACAGTTAAAAAACATGCTTTACATTTGCAATGCACAATTGATACATGACAAACGAAACAAGAAATATCTATAACGTATCAGAAACATAATGCAAATAGGTAAAACGTACTGTTATAATTTTTCATAACACTCTACTAATCAAAATCTTGAAGATTCAGTTTCTTAAACAAGAAAGAAGTATTCAACAAGTTGTTATAGGTGATTACTAAACTTATTGCTAACACTTAGATTAAGTAAAATAATGGTTCATTTAAATTTACTTTCACTAAAATAAGAATAGGCTATGTGAGAAAATAATTATAAAAAATAATTATAAAGGTATAAAAACTAATAAAAAAACGGAAAGTCATTAAATATGTATATTGAATAAGAATCTAATCAGGCATTCAGTAATTGCAAATAGCTACTGTTGTTTTATATTGCATGGGCACACAAGGTCATGAAATGTTAACTCTCTCTAACAGAATTAATGGATTTATATGCACAAAAGATACATAGCAAACTTGTACAAAATAGTATGTATTTAACATACCTGGGGTGAATTAATATCATTATTATTTACACAGGTAGAGTAACCAGAGGACCATTCTCCTATACTTTGCTCTGATTCAGCTGAAAATGAAAAATTTAATTTTATATAAAATAACTATTTGATATTTTAAATGATATCTCCATTCGTCTCAGTTACCTTTTGTAAGAAGCTGATAACAAGAAACACAAACTCGTGAATTAATGTTTCCTTGATATTCTAATTTATACTTCATATTACAACATTTGCTACATAACACTTTTCCGCACGCGCGACAATGATGCCGTCTTTTCATTACTGTAAACTTTACATCACACAACATACAGCTAGGTGCATCGCTGTCAGGCACCCAAAATGGAGGTTGCTTCCCCAAAATGGAATTAGTTTCTGGTATAGAATTATCTAAAATATCTGGTGAAGATCCTTGATCTTCTTTAGTACCATCAACATTTGATTGCACATGAGCTGACGGTGTATCACTTGTAGAACCAGCTATTTGATGTTCATTGGTATTATTAGTTAAAACAATGTCTAAGGTTTGAGGACGTACTGGCTTCTCTGATTCACCACTGCTATCACTTACATTTAGTCTTGTGGATGCTTCCATAGATGTAGACATAATATCATCGCAATTTTTTGTTTTATCATTTAACATAGTTATCTCAGCTGTCATTACATGTTTCTCTTCAGAAACATTATCAACATCACCTTGGATTTTCAATTCACAAGCTTGACTGTATTGTGGAGGATTTTCCTTCTGGGCTTTTAGGTGAATATCAGTTTTACCATTACTGAGTGACCCCTGGTTAATATTTAAATTATACATACAGTGTTCCTGACTAACTTTAACATTTTTTGCATTAGGCAAACATTCATTTTCTGAAGTTACACTAGTGTTTTCATGTATCATATTATCATCTTTAATGGTCTGCAATGATTTTACTTCTTTGTTACTTATATTACCATCTTCCAATTCATCAGTGAATTGTGAATTTTGTTTTTCTATTACATTAGTTAACATTTCTTCTGTTTCATAATCAGTTACTGAAATGTCGGTTTCATGGCTGAATTCTTTTTCTGTCGTTTCAGGAGATTCTACAATTAAATCTTTAGAGACATGCTCTACAGTTTTACCCTCGTCCATTTGATCTGGAAGAATATTGTGTATTGTATCTTCTAACGTAATTTCATGTGATTTGTGCACTGAAACATTTTCATGTTTCTTACATTCCACATTTAATTTTTCCTCCTCCTCTAATTCTATTAAATACTTGGTTAAATCATCTTCTGATAAATTCTCAATGTTATTAAATCCAATTGGCTTATCTGCTACATTTAAACTGTTCCCATGTTGATCAGATGAATCAAAGTCTCCCACATTTAATTTTATTTCATTTTCTTCTAACTCCAATGTAGAATTACTTTCATATTGATGACTTTGATTGTAAGTACTCTCAGGTATAGAATCATTTTCTTGGCTTCCAATATTGCTATCTTCTTGTACACTATCAGAATGTGCTTTATATACAGCTTCTGCTTTATTACTCAATTCAGTATGTATTTGGTTCAATGAAACTTCTTTCAGAAGCTCTTCCTCGTGTTTTATTTCATCAAAACTTATTGCATGAATGTTAGGGTCCTCTTTAATATCATTCTCACACGTAATAGGTGCTTCTAATGATATAGGCCCATCTTCATGACTTGAAACAGACGATTCTCTAGTTACACTAGTTGCATCGGCTGTTTGATTAAACACTATGCTCTTATCGCTATCTTTAATGGAGCTCTGAACAAAGTTAGATGTCTCATTACCATGATAAGCAGTTTTAGACTCTAAATTAGAATGCACTTTCTGTTCATTCAATACAGAATGGATACAATCTGAACTTCCAGGTGGTGCATTTATATATTCATTCAAACTGCTAAAGACATTACTAACACTGGGCTTTAGATTACACTGATTCAATTTTTTACCATACCTATTGTCAATCTTTGGACTGTTACTATCATTTTGTTGCTTATGCAATAATTTTTGCGATATGTCATTGTATACCGTTGAAGGAACTTGTTCGGAATCATAAGATGGTACAGACTGTTTTTGTATAACTTTACTGTCACTTACATAATCTTGTGTATAAAATTGATTTACACCTTCTGTGCCTTCTATTATTGTTTCTTCTTTACTATACTCTAGACTGTCAGGAATTGCATCCTTTTCGCTTACAGATTTACTTCTTGCATTTATCTGCTGTGTATCCTTATGTCTTTCTGAAGTTGATACTATATCCAATTCCTTGTTAGTATTTTTAGAATCTATTAAGAGATAATTGTAGGGTTTTAAATTTGAAGGTTCCAAGTTACATTTAACTGTAGATGATGACGCATTGTTTGCTGAAGAATTAACAGATGCTATTTGCTCTGCACAATCTGAAAAACATTCATTGTATCAATAATCTATTTAAAACACACAGTTTATTCAAGAAAAATTTTATAAAATGTATCAATTAAATAAAAATGTATCATTTCATAATATAGTTATAACCAACGGTTTTGATGAAAAACTGTTTGAAATTGTATCAAAAGTCACGAAATTACCTATTAAGAGAGAAATTAAAAAAATAAAGGATAATTCTCACCTTCATTAAACTCGAAATCGTCCAGAACTTTGTCTAAATCAACAGCAAATTTTTCCATTGCGTCGTACGTATTAGTTACAATGATCGTATGGTCATTTAATAAACATTTCTATCCAACTGGTTAAATACAATTCCATTAATGGTATCCGTTGAAAAAAATGTACGACGTAATTTTGGAATTTTCTGTCAGCTACTTGTCGAAAATAAATTTAGACAGAGAATGTTAAACGTTGGTCGATTGTCACGTTACTTGTATGACATTTTCAATTATTTAATAAGCCTCCCACGGCAGATAAGTCATTCCGCGTTACAAATTAGTTTGCATTAGGTGTCTTTAGTCAGCGCATATATTTTTACAAATCGGTCTTCCTTCATTATCTACGAGATGCAGCTGTGACATTAGAGAAAAATGGGACAACAAGAATGTTCTGAGTCACGTCGAAGAAAATGAAACGCAAAAATAAAAAAATTAACCATAAATTTTCGATTATCACGTGGATTAATTGACAGCAGAATAAGTTCTTGTACATACTCATATACTACTTGTCCATAGAACTGTCATTCTGTATCACAAACGTTTCCATATCGATCAATCGAACTTCCTATTTTTCATTTCCGATCGATTGGTCGATTACATTTTACGTACCATGAAAAGATTTCCACTTTAATCTTTAAAATTTCCACCTTTTTATTGATAAAAACTTATCCCTCGTCGCAAAGATTCACATACTTCACACGTAAAATGTTTTTTGTAATATAATTATGATTAATTGATCGATTTATTAGATAATAATTTACATTATTCGCAGTTGTCTGCCATGATTGTCATGTCGCGCAACTTATACAGTTTACGATACACGTGCAACGTTTAGTGCTTGATATACACATATATGTTTGAATTTAAGAAACATTTTATTTTATTTTATGTACAGAAAGTATATTTTGCATAATATAAATAATCATCATGTTGAAAACGAAAGTTTTCTTTAGAAAAACTAAGGGAGGAAAGGTTTTTAAGGTATTGTATATGAAAACAAAGTATTTGTTTTCAGAATTATGTAAATGTGTTCTTTGTAATATTATTTAAACAAAGTAAATTAATATAAAAATTGTTCCTCTGTACAGACTGTTAGAGAACATTATCTCAGAGATGATATTCACTGTGGTTCTAAAGCATGTGATAAATGCTTGTACAGAAACCGGAATATAATTTTAGATGATGAAGATTCAGGTGTAAAAAGCTCAAAACTATTGTATCCATATTACCTTCTACTTGATACTAACATTATTTTAGATCAGGTAAACAGAATAATTTTACAAAATTATTTTTGTTACAATGCTTATAACTTCTATAATTTTAGATTGATGTTTTGGAAGAAGATGTTATCTGTAATGTAATAATATTACAAACAGTGTTAGAAGAAATAAAACACAGAAGTTCTACTGTATATAAGAAATTGAAGGATGTAATTGCTAATACACGTAGAAAATTTTATGTATTTGTTAATGAACATCATAAGTACGTCAAAACTACTATATTTATACTGCACATTCATATTGTATTACTAATTGTATTATGTTGTATTCAAATAGAGAAACTTACATTGAACGTAATCCAGGTGAAAGTGCAAATGACAGAAATGATAGAGCAATCAGAGTTGCAGCAAAATGGTATAACATGCATTTAAGTTCTCTTGGTTGCAAAATGAAAACTGTGTTATTAACTGACGATATTCGTAATAGAGAGCTGGCAATTGCAGAAGGAATCCCGGTTCTTTCGAGTAAAGTTTTCTTTGTTAGTCATATAAAAGCATTATCTTCACTTCAACTTATATTGGTGTTATTTCGCAGTGGAGGACTATGTTACTTCATTGGAAAATTCAGGATTTCTGGCAGATAAATTATGTAAAAAGAGTTACGGCACAGATTCCGATGGTCAAACAGTTTTTCCATGTCACCTTACACCATCTGAATTACACGAAGGTATCAAAAATGGCAAACTTCTACAAGGAACATTTGCCATATCAAGAGAAAATTTCCTTGAAGGATTCGTTAAAGTTGAAAGGGCCGAGAAAGAGGTAAATATTTGTTGTCTATATTTTTCATACGTATAAATTTATTACATATATTTGATTGCAGATTTTTATCCAAGGTCGTAGTAACCTTAATAGAGCAGTTGATGGTGATACAGTTGCATTAGAACTCTTAGCAGAGGATCAGTGGTCATCTCCCAGTGACATTGTCTTACAAGATGAAGAAGCAGATGTTGATGATGTGATAGAAACTGAGAAAGTATTAGATAAAATTAATTCTTCAAACAAAATGCAAAAGACACCAACTGGGAAGATTGTTGGTATTATTAGGAGAAATTGGAGGCAATATTGTGGGATACTTCAGCCTAGTAATATAGAAGGGGTAAATGTTTAGGAAGTTGTCATTATTAGCTCCTGTATATATATACACCTGTGTTTCACAATTCTATCCTCTCTGTATATAGAATGTGAGACATTTGTTTGTGCCAGCTGAACGAAAAATACCTAAAATAAGAATTGAAACTAGACAATACTCAGTGTTAAGTAAACAAAGGATTATCGTTGCCATTGATTCTTGGCCGCGTAATTCAAGATATCCTCTTGGTCATTTTGTACGTGCATTGGGTGAAATAGGAGATAAAGCGACCGAAAACAAAGTAATACTTTTAGAGCACGATGTTCCGCATAGTAGATTCTCCGATGCAGTTCTTAGTTCACTTCCGAAGATGCCATGGCGCATCACAGATGCTGTATGTATAAACGTAAAAATGAAATTAAATTCTATAAAATCATTATGTACATTAAACATATTGTTTCTAGGATTTAGTACAAAGAGAAGATCTTAGACACCTGGATATATGTTCAGTTGATCCACCAGGATGTACAGATATTGATGATGCGCTTCATTGTAGAGAACTACCAAATGGTAATCTTGAAGTAGGTGTACATATCGCGGACGTAACGCACTTTATTAGACCTGGAACTGCATTAGATAAAGAGGCAGCTTTACGAGCTACGACCGTGTATTTGGTTGACACAAGGATTCAAATGATTCCAGGTAAAAATTCATTTTTCTTTATTAGTCGTTATTCTAGTGCGTAATGCATTCTATTTATGATTATAGAACTACTCAGTACAAATCTTTGTTCTTTGAGGGGAAATGAAGAAAGATTAGCATTTTCCTGTATATGGGAAATGGACAAAGATGCAAATGTAATTAATACTAGACATTGTAAATCTATTATTCGTTCGCGAGCAGCAATGACTTACGACGAGGCTCAGTTGAAAATCGACGATGCTACTCAGCAAGAGCCAGTTGCAACATCATTGAGGAATCTTAATAGTTTAGCAAAGAAGTTAAAAAAGAGACGTTTAGAAAATGGGTATGTAAAATTTTCTCATCGAAACTCTGTACTCTGAATTGTAAAAAGAAAATTGCTGTTAATCACAGTGCACTAGTATTGGCATCTCCTGAAATCCGGTTCGAAGTGGATTCTGAAACCCACGATCCCATTGATGTGGAAGCTAAAAAATTGCGAGAAACTAATTCCATGGTTGAAGAATTTATGTTGCTAGCAAATATTTCAGTTGCTAAAAAGATTGTAGAAGAATTTCCAGAGTGTGCAGTATTAAGAAGACATCCTGAGCCACCGCTTGCCAATTTTGAACCGCTTATAAAAGCTGGAAAGAATCAAGTATGGAAAAGTTATTTGAAAACCAAGATCTGTAAATATTTTGTACGCAGTGATGATAAATTCCCAATATTTAATTCAATTTTATTAGGGCTTTGTTATAAACACTAACAGTGGTAAAGAATTGGCAGAATCTTTAGACAGATGTCATAAAGAAAACAATCCTTATTTCAACACTATGTTGAGAATACTCGCTACACGTTGTATGATGCAAGCTGTGTATTTCATTAGTGGAATGCATCAACCAAGTGAATACTTTCATTACGGTTTAGCATGCCCCATTTATACTCACTTTACATCACCTATTCGAAGGTAAAGTTGAAAACATAATAACCGAGAATGTATTTGGTTTTAATTTTATCGTTTACTTTGTTCTGTAGGTATGCGGATGTAATGGTACATCGTTTATTAGCAGTTTGCATTGGAGCCGATGCAACATATCCTGACTTATTGGACAAGAAGAAAAATCATGCGTTATGTCATAATCTAAATTATCGTAATAGAATGGCACAGTATGCTGGACGAGCGTCTGTTGCACTTAACACACATGTTTGTATCTTTTGAAGAACACTTTTTATTTAGAATTTTCTGAAAGTATTGTTTAAAGCTTACAAATAATATTTTTGTTTTTATAGTTGTTCTTTAGAGGAAAAATTCAGGATGAAGAAGGGTACATACTATTTGTGCGAAAAAATGCCTTACAAATATTAATTCCAAAGTATGGTCTGGAGGGAACTTTGTATTTGAACGAAAACAAAGCAAACTCTATAACATTTAAATACAACAACGAGGATCATTCACAAACTTGTGGAAATGTTATGTTCCGTACTTTTGATCCTGTTATAGTGCAAATCAGTTTGGACAGATCCAATGTACAGCATGAGAAATTAGTATTTAAACTGGTTAAACCATATGTAAGTATATTGTAACATCGTGGAACGGATTGCCATGTTCATTAATTGTTCATAAAATTGTATTCGTAGATTGCAGGTTTCAGTGTACCTTCAATAAACACAGAATGTTCATCAGTTGTATTAGTACAAAATCCAAAAGAGGTACCAAAAAGAAAGATGGACGTAGAAAAAACCTCAGATAAGAACACTAAAAGTGGAGGAAGTAAAAAGAAAAGGAAAAATAAGAAGCATCAGTAGTACTATGTACTATTGTTTGCTGTGAAAACTTCTATTTATGACTATTTTTTGTACATTGAAAACACGTTGAGATAACATTGCTAAGTAATTCATGTTCATATCATTTTATTTGTGTACGCTAAAAAATAGGGAAAAACAAAACATGTAAGCGTTTTTATCATTATAGTGCACAGAATTTACCAGAAAAATATCTGCAGAAACTAGGGACTAAACTACAACAGTGAAATAATAAAAATGTAAAAAATAACATTTGGTTTGTACAAAGTTAAACCAGACTTCTTGATGGTATGTACTTATATCGTTTTTTACTGAAATGATTTAACATAACAATTATATTTGAACAGAAGAATAAATAAAGTACTATATTATTATTTATTGTAATACAAATACCGGTTACAATAAAAACGTAAATATGTGTATATGTAATGTAACAATCATGTTTGATAAAAATTTTTTTAATCAATGGAAGTATACATGTGTACTGACATCATAAGTCTTACTTGCAAGATAAGAATTACATACTTCCATTATTCAAAAGAATAATAAATAAAAGTTAAGAAGGAGTATTTATTTTTGGGGGTGAGATGGCAATATAGTAAGAGAAGATTTTCTTCAGATACATTTTTTGTAGAAACTTCTATTCCACTCTACAATGTTACTTTTTGGTTGCGCCAAGAATGGAATTGGTGGTACCAACATTATCGTATGACTAGAGATATTTTGGTAAATGCGAACTTTAAAATTAGAACGTCATTTGTTGTGCCGCCTTAATTCGCTCAACTTATTTCTTTGAGATTTGTAGTGACGGTAAATTGGGTGTACGCGGTAAAACGACGGAACCTTCTCGTGTTGAAAGTTGGTGTTTTGATGTTTGTAGTTCCGGCGAAGTAGAACAACGAAACAGACCACGGGGGTCACACGCGGGGTACCGATACGCGTGTACGGTGTGCGCGGATATCATAAATAATTATTTTTTTAAACCCCGTCCCAATTGTAACTGCAGTTCAATCGAAATCCTGCACATAGCGTAGCGTGATTTCCGTGTTCGATTAATCTACGAAGCCGGTTCGACAACTGAACTCTAATAAATATGGCGAATAGTTTAGCACCAGATTCGTGGGAACAGCAGGCGGATAACGGAGACATCGCTCCACCACAGGATAAGTCCATCGAGAGTAAATTTTCCACTTTAAACGTAAATGCTGCGGAATTCGTGCCTTCCTTCTGCATCAACTCTTCACCGCAGAACAGTAATACGGCCGACAGTTCCTGCAATGTCGCTGTCATGATGAATACTGTAACCACTTCTATGCCTCCTGAAATACATCATGGTTAGTCTTCATATAAACCATGATTAGTAATCAACTATTTTCTTCTAAATAATTTTACTTAGTTTTTGTATAGAAATCTAGGATTTAAGTTCCTATTATTCTAAGTTGTCTGTAATAACCCATGCGACTAACCCCCATTATTTTGTTCGTATACAGGTTCTAATATCTTTTATATTTGTCATCGACAAACATAGACCAACAGAATTTGCTACTATTTAAAAATCCATCAAGCTTTATCTTTGTATATTGATGTTAATTGCCTCAAGAAAGAGATTATAATGATTTTTAATACAATATGTATATCTTTAATGTTAACTCAATATTGTGCAATGCTCAGACTGTTGCTAAATTCAAGTCATTTATTTATCTAATAAAATATGAAGTTAACACTTTAGTGCATTAAAAATGAATCACAGATGTTGATAAAGCATGATACTATAAAAAGCTTTTTATCCTAATATATTTCATGAACTTGAGATTAAAACAGAATGTTTCAGTTTTTAATCTTAAACACTTATGTATCTTTAAAATTACTTTGTATTCTAGTACAATTATTTCATTTGTATTTCAGTAAATAAAGCAGGGTTTTATTCCAAGTAAAATTTCTTTATTGTAGGCAATACTACTCCGGTGGTTCTACCAGATCCAGTTGGTACTCGTGTGGAGGAACCACCTGCTGGGGGAGGGGCTCCACCTCCGAATGTTACTGATCAAATAAATACTAGTCCTGAGCATCAACCGGCTGATTCTTGGGAAGAAGCGGCAGTAGACGGCGATCCTCTTTTAACTCCTGAAAATGAAGAAGTAAATTCAAGCTTTTATAAATAGTTTGGTATACATAGGAGGAGCGATCTTAGTCTTAAGTTTATTTAAACTTCATTGTAGTATAGTTTTATTTTTAAGTTTGTTCTTAACACAAGTAAGATGAAAGTATAGGTTATTGATTTATCTGAATGCTTTTTAGGCTGAGAATGAGGAAGACGAAGAGATGGTTGTTAAAGTACCTAAGAAAAAACCTGTTAAAGTAACAGAGGACACTAAAAGTAAAAAGGAGCATGTTAATGTTGTTTTTATAGGACACGTTGGTATGTATCATTTGCATTTCTTAATTAAAAAAAGATATATTGGTTCAAAATGATAGTAACGTCATGGATATCCGTTTTTACAGATGCAGGAAAATCAACGATTGGTGGTCAAATTATGGCATTAACGGGAATGGTTGACAAAAGAACACTAGAAAAGTATGAAAGAGAAGCAAAAGAAAGAAGTAGAGAAACGTGGTATTTGAGTTGGGCCTTAGATACTAATCAAGAGGAACGAGAAAAAGGAAAAACGGTGGAAGTCGGTAGAGCGTACTTTGAAACTGAACGAAAGCATTTTACAATATTAGATGCACCTGGTCATAAGAGTTTTGTACCTAATATGATTGGTGGAGCAGCACAAGCCGATCTCGCGGTTTTAGTTATTTCTGCGCGGAAAGGAGAGTTCGAAACGGGTTTCGACAGAGGCGGTCAAACGAGGGAGCACGCTATGTTGGCCAAAACTGCTGGTGTTAAACATCTGGTTGTGTTAGTAAATAAAATGGATGATCCGACGGTGGAGTGGGATGAGGGAAGGTACAATGAGTGCAGGTAAGTTATTTCCGTTTGTTATAAATCTAAGGTAACAAGTTTATTAATTTTATTGAATGTTAAATTAATTATTGGATTATTTAGGGATAAAATACTGCCGTATCTGCGTAAACTGGGGTTCAATCCCGCTAAAGATCTTACATTTATGCCAGTCTCAGGGCAGCTTGGTATTGGCTTGAAAGACCCGATACCAGAACATCTTTGTACGTGGTATACTGGCCCACCATTCATATCCTTCATTGACTCTTTACCGTCGCTTAATCGCAAAAACAATGGACCGTTTATCATGCCAATTGTTGATAAATATAAAGATATGGGAACGGTGGTAATGGGAAAAGTTGAAGCGGGAGAAGCAAAAAAGGGACATTCGCTACTTGTTATGCCGAATAGGGTAAAAATACTGCTATTATTTCGGTTCGTGCCGTTTCATTTTATTATCTGTCCTTTACTTATTTAACCGTGTTTCATTAGACGGCAGTGACGGTAGATCAATTGTGGTCGGACGATGAAGAAGTGACATCGGTTGGTCCTGGAGAGAACGTGAAGATCAAGTTAAAAGGCATCGAAGAAGAAGACGTTAGCCCTGGATTTGTCCTATGCGACAGCAACAATCCGATTAAAACAGGAAAGGTGTTTGACGCGCAAGTTGTTATTTTGGAGCATAAGAGTATCATCTGCGCTGGATACAGTGCTGTGATGCATATTCATTGCGCTGCGGAGGAAGTTAGAGTGAAAGCATTGATCTGTCTGGTCGATAAGAAAACGGGAGATAAGAGTAAAACAAGGCCGAGGTTCGTTAAGCAAGATCAAGTGGCAATAATGAGAATCGAGTGCGCTGGTGTGATATGCCTTGAAAGATTTAAATTATTTCCACAAATGGGACGTTTTACCCTTAGGGATGAAAGTAAGTACATAATGATATTAGAAAGGTTCGTTCACATTCAGTGAACAACATTTTCATTGATCCTTTATCAATTTTTAGATAAGACTATTGCAATTGGTAAGGTGCTGAAAGTGGTGGAGTAAAGTTACTCAACTGTGACCACAGATTGGGATAATAATCGACTTTGATAACGACAAATACAGAAAAGACGCAAGCCAAACACAGTACGCACGAGAGAGAGAAAAAAAAAAAAACGGAACTAGCGTGACTGCTCGCGAACTACTGTTAATGTAACATACACTCATCTTACACAAGAAGCAAAAGAATTTTACATCAAAGGAAAGCACATACATCGTATGCACAGACAGTTGGGCCGGGGTTTGGGGTCAATCGGGGCAGGGGAGGGTATTTATAACCTGAAATAAAGAAAAAAAAGCAAACAAACAAATAGATTTGATTATATAGATAAGGAGACAAACAACTAAAAAAAAAACTCAAGAGCGCGTGTTCCTTCTAATTAGGTAAGCCGAACGACAGCACTCACGTTGAGTTCACAACAAAATGGATTAATGATCAAACTGATGATTAGTGTCTCCTTGATATTGTAAAACACGATATTTTTATTCTTCTGAGGTGCGAGACATTAATGAAACGTAAAGAAGAGGATTACCGATTATGAGATAAAACTAAGAAATAAAAAAATACAAATATTATTAATATTATTATAATGATTATTGAATAATTATTATTGAATAATTATTATTAAATTGGTGGTAAGAAACGAGGGAAAAAGATAAAAAACAAAAGTTTATTAAATCAACCAGATAGTGTTAAACGACAATTTATAATTATAAAATTAATATTATTATTACTATTATTATACTGTTTCTTATTACATTGTCATTAAAAACAAATTTGCAAGAAAATTGTCCTCTACTAATTTTGGTAAGAGAATTTTTGATGTGTATGGTTGATTTGCTTTTTCTTGCACGTACTATTTCTGTTAATTCAATTAATTGGTGTTGTTCGATGGCGCCAAAGGTTCGTGTATTGTATCGATGTACTACGTGTCTGTTAACACCAGATGTTCTTACAAACACTTGTGCTTTTCCAGAAAGAGATTTCGATGATTTATAGCGTTACATGCGATCAAAGGAAAAAAAATTAATGTCGAGATTTAACCGAAAAAGGAAGTTAATATAGAGAATTTTCAAAGCAGACATTTTGTGAGTGCTTTCTTTACATGTATTACTGCTTTTTTCTTTTCTTTGCTCTGTTTTATTCTAACGGATACTAAAAAACAATATTTGCGTCTTTTGCCCTGTTTCACTTTTCTTTTTCTTTTTTTTCACTATATGTATATTGTTGAATCATTTTTGATTCTGTTTTATTTAATGTTTTATAACGAATCAGATTTACCAACAATACGAATATTACAATCATTAATTTTATTTCTATAAATTGTTCGGAAACATTTATTGTACGCGTTGTTATAATTTTTAAACTTGTTAATATAATATTCCAGTCGGAACATTAAACAAAAAAAAAAAAGATATTACATTTTATACTTTTTTTTTTCTCTTATTTTTTATATAATTTCAGTAATACAGATTAAAAATAACAGTGTAAAATCTATTCAGACAAAACTTACACAAATTTCGGAGAATTTATTCTTTTTTGTAATGTTAACAAGACAAAAATATATACATGGTTGTTTTCAAAATAACTTTTTCATAATTTAAGGTGCATTATCTTTGTAAGTGCAGCAACGGCCTAACGGTGAGTGATACTATCAAGTTAGTTTTACTTTCGACTTCGTTTGCTGTTCTTTTTTTACTGCGATTTTTAGTGCAATTCATCATTTGTTAACTCGAATTTTTGACACGTATTTGTCAAACATTCCTATGCGTGTCTGTATATCATATGTAGGTTTATTACATTTTATATGACAATTATTAAAAAAAAACAAAAAAAAAAGAAAAGAAGAAAGTTTATATAATAAAGTGGTGAAATCTTAATTACACTGATAATTGAGGATCAGGTGCTAGTTTAGCGTATCCAAGTTTTTGAAGTACCTCTTTGATTTCATGATACACCGATACATCCTCTATTGTACTTGGTATCTGGAGAAGAGAAAAAACAATACAATTTTCCATTGGCGAATGAATAAATATTGAGAATATCATTCCTCGTTCTAGTATACTTACTGTTTATTAATAGACAAAGTTTCCTTACCTTAACCAGTCTCGAATGTGCTAAATTGGAGATAGATTTTCGAATAATCTTCCCTGAACGTGTTCTAGGCAATGCTTTGACAGCAGCAGCTATTCTAAACGATGCTATGGGGCCAATTAAATTTCTTACTCGTGTTACCAGTTCCTCGTTGATTTGTACCTCGTTCTTTGTTGTGTCTTGAAACAAAATTTATAAAAAGGTAAACATTTTTTTAAAACAATTGTATTAAATCTTTACCTTCTTTCATTATATAAAGGCATAAAGGAATTTCTCCTTTAGTAGGGTCTGGTACCCCAACCACAGCTGCATCCACAACATCAGGATGAGCCATAACGACGTCTTCGAGGGCAGAGGTGGACAGCCTGTGACCAGCTACGTTGATTACATCGTCGTCCCGTGCCATCACGTAGATGTATCCAAACTCATCTTTGTAACCGACATCCATGGTATCGTAGTAACCCTGATACATTGTTTTTTTTTTTTCTACATAATGTTCTTTATAATAGAAATACATTAGACTTACCAGAAACCTTGAGAAGTATATTTCTTTGAATCTTTCATCAGCTTTATAAAGAGTGGACATGCAACTAGGTGGTAAAGGTAATTTTATGGCGATTCTTGCTAATTCATGGGCTTTAGCTTTGCTACCGTCGTCCCGTAAAATGTCAACTGGACAAACAGAAAATCAATTTTATATACAATTTTATTTTTTAGAGCCCGATGAGAACTTACTATGGTAACCAGGAATTGGAGGGCCAGTACTGTGTTTTGGTAAACTAGGATGATGACCGTATCCTAAGCATAGTGCTGTGATAGGGAGACCAGTTTCCGATTGCCACCAGTTGTTCAAAATGGGAACTTTGAACGTTTTCTCTGCCCACAATTTCGTCTCGTTGTCGCAGAATTCTCCAGCAACAAATACAGTTTTTAAACTAGAGAAATTAATTTTGTTAAACGGTGGTCTAGGCACATCAAATTTTGTATTATTTAATTTAAGCTTACGACTTAGTAGAGTATTTTCCACCCAACAGTACATCTGGATCAGCGCGTCTTATTACCCGTAATGCAGTGGGTACACAGAACAACGCGTTTACACTGTGCTGTTCTATTACTCTGTAAAAGATAGAATCTTAATTAGCCTAACATGAACTGTACAGGGTGATCCTCTCGCTAGCGGATCCAAAGGAAGTGCCGCAACAATAGAATGAAGAAGTCGACATCCCATTTCTGTCGTCGCTTACTTGACGGCTGTGTGCTTGAAAATATGTGTAATGAGCAGAAGAGTTTGCGGAAAACAGAATATTTTCTTAACACATTTCCACGCACACAGCCGTCTGAAGTAAGCGATGACAGAAATGGGATGTCGACTTCTTCATTCTATTGTTGCAGCACTTTCTTTGGGTCCACTAGCGAGAGGATCACCCCGTATAATTGTATCTACGTTAAGCATTTGAACCTGAAGTATTGCGCTGCATCCGGTGTTCTGTCAGGTTTTCCTTCGTACATAACGCTTGTCGCACCGTAAACAAGAGGTCCATAACAAATGTAAGAATGGCCAACGACCCAGCCCATATCCGAGGCTACCCACCAAACAGAATCCTTGTCTAGACCATAAACTGTCTTCATTGTCCAACAAAGGACAGCCAGGTGACCGCCAACTGTTCTCAGAATTCCTTTTGGTTGACCTTTAATAATAAAGTTTGATTCGGTAATTTAATTTTGTTTCAGAGACTTAATGTATAAAAGATTCCATTCCAAACAACTTCCTTTGACGTTTACATAATGAAGTAATTGTACAATGTGATATTAAAAATATACATTCAGACAGTTAATGACTTTTTCCGGACGTAATACATTTTGTATGCGTCGCAGCGAATGAAAAACAGTAAAAACAAACTTTTAACAACACTAAATATAACGCTGTAAATAAAAACAAATTCTCAAATCTAATGGCAGGATAAGTTTTATCTTCCTTGTTGAAAATTATACAATTTTCAGTGGCAGGACTTAATGCCAATGTGGAAGCAGCATATATGTTTCATTTATACAGGGTGTTCGACAACAGGTGGGAGATTTTTTAAGGGGTGCGGCTTTGGTTCCCAGTAATTAACGTTTAAAAATTCGAGTAAAAAGCGCCTGAAACCTGCAACCTGCCCAGCACCGACGACTGAACGTCAGGTCAGCAGGGGTGAGTACAGTCATAATCAAGAATCATTGAATAGTCGAAACTTACCTCCTCGTGCTATTCTGTTTCAGAGTACTGCAGCATACGGCTTTCTCTTCTTGGTTATGACTGTACCAACCCCTGCTGACCTAACGTTCAGTCGTCGGCGCTGGGCAGGTTGCAGGTTTCAGGCGCTTTTTACGCGAATGTTTAAACGTTAATTACTGAAAAACAAAGCTGCAAACGCTATTTCGTCATTCTTGATTTTCGTCTTATTTCGATCCCTAGAATCACCCCTTAAAAAATCTCCCACTTGTTGTCGAACACCCAGTATAAATATCTAGAGGTTAGTTTACCTGTTGTCCCTGATGTATATAGGATGTACAAAGGGTCATTTGCTTCAACAGGTTGACACGGATGAGGTTTTGACTTGTTTATCACATCGTCCCAGTCATACTGATCCTCCAGTAAGGGACTTTGCCATATATTTCTTCTCTGAAATATAATGCATCTTGGTTTCTTCACAGTAATGATGCTCAAAGCGCCGTTAAGCATCGTTGTATACCTACGTTTAAAATTAGAATGTATATACTTGTAAATTCTTTAAATATAATCAGGCTTTCAAAGAAGATAAACTGTACTTGACGATCTTCGTCGGTTCCAGACCGCAACTAGCTGCAATTATCACTTTAGGTTTCGCGTGTTCTATCCTGGTAGCTAATTCCTTTGCAGCAAAACCTAACATTTAAATTAACAACTAAATAAAGTCTTTTATGACACGTAATGATAAAATGGTGTTAATTATAATTTTCATGGCAAAGCTGATTTTGAATGACGGAAGTAGTACAAGTCAATGATATCTCTTCCGAAGAAATAAAATATGTATTGTAATTTAATTCCTTATCATATTATATTTTATTCACTCTATTTCAAATTCGAATGATTTATATTTCATTCACTGTAAAATTATTATAAAGGTTGTTTTGATTGAAAATAAAAATTTTACCGCCAAATACTACTGAGTGGACAGCTCCAAGCCGCGTGGTCGCCAGCATTGCTATTATGGTTTCCGGGATAAGCGGCATGTAAATAACTACTACATCCCCTTTGCGTACACCCATGTCAGCCAGAGCACCAGCCAATAATGATGTTTTCTCCATAAGATCATTGTAAGTTACTCTTCGAATTGTAGATGTTAGAGGACTGTCGTGGATCAGTGCTGTTTTATTTCCATTTCCCGCGTGAACGTGGCGGTCTACCGCGTTGTAACAGGCGTTCAGTTCACCACCAACGAACCTGTGAGTTTCGTTACTATAGAATTTCGATACAACAGGTTTTCGATACATTTAAATTTCTATAAGACTACCATTTCGTGAACGGCTGATTAGTATTATCTAATACTTTCTTCCAAGGTTTACTCCAGTCTATGCACTTCGCAACTTCCCCCCAAAATTTCTCCGGATTCTCTATGGATTCTTTGTGAGCTTCTTCGTATTTTTGACAAGGAATATGAGGATTGACGATGTAATCTGTAAGGGAAAGTAAACGTGAGCCATCCGTTAGTACCAATTTTAATACACCTTATTTTATTTGTACATATGTCACCGACTTTGAAATCAATAGAAAAGAAAGTGACAATGACATTAAAGCAATGACATTAAAATATGAAAAATACATACGATCTTCTCAGCATAATGTTAATGTATTTGCATATATCGTACAGACTACAAAGATACATAGTAACTCTATTAGTAATTATGTCTATACGAAAATGGCTAAATGGAAGGTGTGCAAAAAATTGCTTTTTAAAATGGAATACTTTGATTCAGAAAGTCTGTTTCTAGTTCGTTAATTGTTTGTAATTCGACGACTGACTACATATATGTACATATGGTAAAACTTAATTACCCTATTGAAGTCGTTCGATGCTGAAAGGTTAAACAGCTTTGAACCTTATTATTCATACGTTTTAAATACCAGTCACTCTTCACTTTAACGTATCGTTAAAGGGGTACCACCCAAATGTTACGCTCACTTATTAATGAAACTTTGCCACCTTGTAAAGCTCGTCGAGTTGAACACGCCTATACCCCATTTACCCGGGCAGACGGCTAATTGTTTAAAAGATATTAATAATTAAAGTTAGTTACTACTTATACTGAGAAGTCTGACAAACTTGTAAATACAAACACGTGACTCGCAATCTAAAGATCCACGGTTCAAATCCTAGGTTTTTTTTTAAATCGTAATTCGTCTTTTTTTGAATAATACTATGATCTATAAGCTATGCTATAATCATTGCATTTAATACCGTGCCAATTTATAATTCATATTTGCAAGTATTTACAATCATTTGTTGTTATTTACAGTTATGTACAAGTACTTGTATCTATTTACAATTATTTACAGCTACTTATCTTTTAATTTATTTACAATTATGTACAATAGTGAGGCAACAAATGCAGTTTCTTTTTTCATTAAATTATTAAAAAATGAGGATTTATTTCTATTATTAGAAGAAGACACAAAAGACATTAGTGAAGAATCCAAAACAATCGGACAGTTTATGCAAATTAGCGATGCATTAGAATGCATGAGCGAAGAACATCGTGAAGACGAATGTAAATCTTTACTAATGTAAAGATAAGTAGCTGTAAATAAAAAGCAACGTATATAATTAATTATTAATAAATGATTATAGCACAGCTGTAATAGTTATTCAAAAAGAGACAAATTAGCATTAAAAAATAAATTGGGAACCGAGGATTTGAACCGCGGACCTTTAGATCTAACCGTTTGTATATAAGTAGTAACTAACTTTAATTGTTAATATCTTTTAAACAATTAGCCGTCTGCCCCCAAAATGGGGTATAGGCGAGTTCAATTCGACGAGTTCTACAAGGTGGCAAAGTTTCATTAATAAGTGAGCATAACTAAGAAGATTAGAAAAGTTGTCTACAAGTATTCATCGGTCGGTAAATATGTCTAATATGTCTAAATATCTAAATTACTTAAAGTAATCCAAAGTAGATGTCACCATTGTTGTTTTGAGTGTACCGATTATTTCAAAATTTCATTTGATTAACGTAGTTGAAAATAAATGGTAGGTTTTAAAATGGAATCCAGTGTACCACCAAAATTAAGAACCTTAAAGCATTATGGTATTTTATTCATTGAACTACTACATTGCAACAAGTGCAGTAATTAAGCTTAAAATAAAGTCACAATTTTATCGTTTGTTGTCGCAGGGCGTGCAATATAGTGACAGTAGAGTCATGGCCGCAAAGCGTGACCGTTTAATGCTTTCCTTCCGCAAACTTTGATGCACGGCGATCGTACCGCGAAGCAAAAGGTAACGTTTACTTCTGTAATCTCCACCATGTAGCCGTGATTCATGAATATTTAAATATCTCGTGTTGGGAACACTGTCTTACCGATATTTTTTTTTACCTCTACCGATGAATAATTCAACGTTAGTCGACGGTACCGAGTTCATAGTAATTTCTTATGCTGCCCAGCGCCTCTTTTAATATACCACCTATGTGTTCGCGTGTCTGTGTGTATCGCGAATTACGAGTATCGTGTAGAAACAAGCTTAATACTTTATCAATGACACCATCTAAGGTAATCAAAATCTTATACTCGTTTTACTTATTACAGGACCACAACAAGAAGCTTTTCAGATTACTTTAATCAGTTGTTGACATTAGGAAAAAGAAAGGGGTGCAGACGGCGAGCATTTTCACAAAAAGGATGCAGAATTATCATAAGAGTATGAATAATCCTTTGGAAAAAAAATACAAATGAATGATAATTATAATATATCTAATACTATCACTCATAGTAAACACCACTGTAAAATTTAGGTTATATTACACATTTTATAATTCTATATAAATTATTACAACATTTTTATCCGGTTACCGTTAATATCTTTTTTATTCCTGTTTACGCAATTGTAAGAAACTTTGTAAGCACATAATATCGAAAGTCCAATTGTTTCCTGGACGAATATTCAAATTTTACGTTAAAATTCGAAACAATGCATTAACACTTGGCCGGTCGTATATTTTAAAGAATCAACGGTTCTTGTAATTCCGTAGTTCTTTTTATAGATTACCGAGTAAATTGCACTCGAATCTTTCTACGATATACTTTATAAAACAACTTTTTTATACTGTAATTAATACACGATCAAATACAGGTAGGTCTCGATTAGTGCGAGTAATAAATCTCAGAAATTGTTCGCATTATTTAAATTCGTACTATTCGAGTACTTGAAATATTGGTTCTTGAAGAAAATAAATGAAATATACCTTTCATACGTATATTATTAATTTATAATAGCATAAACATGTTTATTATTTTTTTAAATATTTTAACAATGTTAATTGCACTTTCTTCTGCTTTTTAGCACGCTCCATTGAGTCTGCTTATGTCACGACTTTTGTGTGTCTGTCAGATTTTGAATAAGAATCATATATTTCTATTAATTAAATTAAATTTATGTTTAATAATATAATTAAACTTATTTTATTTATGAAAAACTTATTTTTTTATGATGAATCGATATTTAAGGAATTCATTCAAGGTATATTACTGTTAATAAAAATTTTTATTTGTTGGACATCGATGCTTTATTGAATCAAGGAACGTGCTTTGAGTCGTGTGTGTTTCGATTCATGTCTGGATCGAAAAAAGCCTCGCATTAACTAAATTTTTAAATGCGTCCTGGTACCATTTTTAAATTCGCACTAAATCAAATATCGCACTATGTGAACACGCATTAATCGAGATTTACCTGTATATAAAAATTATGAATATATAACAGCGTCTGTTAAATTGTTAATGAGAAAAGAAAAAGAGCCAATGTTCTTCGGGTAGCGAAAATTTTGTTTACAATACCCTTCGGCGGGTATGTTCTTAATGCATTTAATTATTTATCAACATTTAGTAGGTGCGAGTGCATCCGGAAAATAGCAGCTGCGACGGATAATTAAATTTGATCAAGCTAATGGGTATTACCGGTGGACTTCCTCAACAATGAAGTTTTGACGTTCATGGAAAACCTTACGATTCTATTGCCAACATTAATCGCAGCTCTAAGCGAAAATGTTCCAGACACTTAATTGCTGATAATAAATGTCGAAAGCACATGTTGTTAACAAAAAAGGAAAGGATTCTGCGGACGACGAATTACAGTATTGAAACATTGGCAAAAGTGCGCTTACCAATTCCTTTATCCTTTTGCAGGATCTCTGAGCCGGCGATTAACGACTGGAAGCTCATTTTGTTTAAGATTTGAAGTTTAAAAAAGCCAGCATTCAGATGATGAAGTCTTTTCACTATTCACCTGGTCATTTGTTGACCCCTAGATTGCAATTAATGATGCACTATAATTAAAAGGAAATGATGAATTTAATTCAGTGGATCCTCAGGTATTTTTCTACTTTTATACCTTATTTAATCATGAAGTCGTCGATGACTAGATTCTGATGAAATTCCCGATCAGATTATGTTTATTAGATTTGAAAACTGACCCTCGGTGCCCCGGTTGTGAAGGAATATTTCGGATATATGTATGAGCCTTGTAACTTGTTGCCTATGTTAAAAGGTATGTTTATTTTATACAGTAAGATAGGGCATTATCGAGAATGTCAATCGAAACGGATTTACTTAGGATACGTTGTTCTACTATCGTTTAAGTTGTATAATAATGTTCAATGACAAGACTATTATATTATTTTTAATTCTGTTAAAATTTATGAAATAGGGTCAACTTGTATCGTTATCTAACGAGGGGAGGTACCCAAATATTACGCTCATTTATTAATGAAACTCACCGAGCTGAATACGCCTATACCACGTTTTGGGGGCAGATGGCTAATTGTTTAAAAGATATTAACAATTAAAGTTAATTACTCCTTACAAATTCACACGTGGAAATGGTTAGCTTCGTTTCTATGTGTGAGTTTGTTATACTTCAGAATATAAGGAGTAACTAACTTTAACTCTTAATATCTTTTAAAAAACGTCTGCCTCCCAAAATGGGGTATAAACGTGTTCAGCTCGACGAGCTCTACAAGGTGGCAGAGTTTCATTAATAAGTAAGTGTAACACTTGGGTGGTTCCCCTTGTAAGTAAAGAATTTGATGAGTTAAAGTTTTAATATAGATAAAAGGGATACTTGTAGATGTTTAACGTAGAAATTGCGATCTTCCATGCGATTACAATTTAATTTTATGTATAATACTGGAAACAATCTTTGTTCAAAACTATAAATTTTAATATTGTTTATTTACTTTTGTTGCAGGATGTTAAAATCAAACACATGAAACATCCGATGATTCTCCACTGTTTTATACACGGTTCCTTGATCACAGTTTAAACAATTATTTAAGACATCTTTGTTAACACTTTTCGGATATTATTTCAAACGATTTCCAATGTTCAACTTAAACAAGAAATACTCTATTGAAAATCGTACTCGATCGTGGATAACAAATCACAGATATAACGCGACCAACATACTCAAGAAAACTGAGAATTGTCGCCTTATATCAGAGATATCCATCCAAAGTCAGACCTCCTTCCGATCGGCCCCCACTCCGTCTATTCCCCTTAGGTAGGTGGTTTGCATTCGACGAGAATGTTTAATTGTTGATTTTTTTAAAAATATAATTGCGTAGTAAAAATTATTACTTTTTATAAGTAAATGATATTGAACTTACCTTTTGGATCGATTTATAGAGTACCTTATTACTCCCATGGTATCAATTGGTATATTTTATTCTTTTGAAAATAATTGACTATAGAAAGAAATGATTGCTTAAGAAATTCAATTTTTAATAATAAAAGTAGATATATTGAAGACATATTAATATTATAGAAAGCTCTTTATTCTCTTCAATAGAGATTATCTTCTTTCTTCTGTTACAAACTTTAAATTACTTCAATAGTATATTGAGTTATTAACGTAAGTATTCTTTTATAAAATACTTACGATAAAAAATTTGATTTTTCCACAAATGTATAACGAAAGTAAAAGTTATTAAGAGAAGGAGAGGAGTAGGGGTGACCGGGGTTAATTGACTAATGGAATTAGTTGACTAATTGCCTTTAAGTTTTACATTACATAATAGGTGGTGCTTTTATTCAATCTTTTGAAACTATGTCATGCGTTATTGTTATATAATTTTGCATTTTATATCAGTGAGAGCAGAAAATGGTAACTAAATATTCTTCTTCTGACTATTAATGAATTTTTATCCAGTTGTTGTGAATATTTTATAGAAGTATAATATATTAACTATAATTTACCGTTTTTACTTTATTCATTGCGTGAAGGTTATGAACATGCATCAATCAAAATGTTATATATAAATAAATGTCGAACGGGGTTGTTTGACTAATCATAATCGGGGTTATTTGACTTACAAGGAAGGGTTTATAGGTGTACGCCTCCGATTGTTTTGATTTTTTGGATATGTTTTAAAGGACCGAAAAATAAGATATACGTATTTTTTTATTTTTGCCCGTTTTCATATTTAGGGGGTGAATCGACCCCCTAAAATCCTGAAAACGTACATATGATGTTTTTGTGCTATCTGAGTAAGCTGTTGTGGGAACTTTCAAGGAAATCCTGGAGAGTATCAGTGGACGGAAGATAATGCTATCTTGAAAGAATGCAAGTAAGGCCGATCAAAAATTATTTTTGCAAAATCTTCTTTCCAGGCGAGGCATTCAAGCAAAAGAAGAAGGAAATTAAGGGATGTGTACGGTGACCAAGAAATTTCTTATTGCGTAACCAACATCTCCATTATAATGTTTTATTCTATGTGAAAGGCAAATTGAAGACGTACGTCAACCACAGGATGAGGGTGCAAACCTGGTTGAAATGCGCACGCTCGTAGAAACGGCGCGTATTTAAGGGCTGAACCCTTGCAAATCTCACCACTATCATCGTACCCTTGCTTCTCACTGCTGTTACACGTAAACCGACATCGTTTCCACGCGTTTATCTCTCGTTACGAGAAGTCTAGTGTGCCAATCAACAAGGAACATCCTTCTCGTCGTGGCCGTCGTCAGCATCGACGCTTCTAACACCTTTGAGGGACACTTTCTACGTTTACGTTTGTGAAAAGGCAACAGGTTAGCGGTGTTCTTATTTTTTAAGCTTTATTGTTTAGTGGAAGGTTGTTTATTATTTTAAGTATGTTCAAAGGTTTGTCAAATAAAATACCTAAAGTAATACACAATTAATATATATGAAAGTCAAGGACGTCACGAAAAAAAGTATGGAAAACGGTATTTTTATATATTCTACAAGTTTTATTGTGCAGCTCTCTTTGACGTTCAAATCTTTGCTAAATATAATCCAGGACGTCGCACAATGATGTTATGCATGGCATTCTTTTTCCATCAAATCTCTTCCGACATTTCATTGAAGATGCATGTGAAGTTGAATTATGAAATATGAAATTCCTTCAATGACGATACATTCTTTCGCTCTCAGTTATTCAATTCTAGCAAATATGGATTATAAGTTCCAGCGTTATATTCTGATTTTATAGTGGGATTTGCTTTTGTTCGACGAAATCCGAGATTATATTTTCCAGGAAGGTTCTGTATGTAATTTCTACGATTAAAACTTTCAAGTGGGACGATTTCAATTTAATTTAATTGTTTACCAGATGTTACAGGTATATGATCTAACGCGAAGCGTAATTCTCTTGTTAATGCTATGAGATGAAAGAAAGTAATATAATTAATTTTTTTATATTTGCTTTTATGGAAAGAGCAGATGAAAGATTCTAAGGTATAATTTTATTTCCACACATTTTACTCCTACTTGTTTTTAATTTCTCCTACCTTTATAATTCTATGATCGCTATAAATTTTATTAAAAATTTGAACACTATTTTTCCCAATTTTCATTTATCCCTACTTTTGTTTCAGACCACACCTCCCGCGGTTACTCTCAATTCTAACGCGTTCACGATCAGGACGGACCGAGGGTAGAACTGCTATATTTCAGTAACAAACTCGATTAAGAACTGATGTTCATTTCCTGACAATCCCGCGACCGATATCTCTCTGGATTCTTGATCGATCTGTTCGTCAGGTGTCTCGGTTCATCATGATTTGCGTAGGATTCTTCCACGACTGCTCTATCTCGGTGTCTTCTGCACCTTCATCATTCACAAATTTAATCATTACACGCTGTAAAGTGTTCGAACGACAAGCATTCGTTGTTTTCCTTTTTGCTGGAATTTAAAAGGATCGGAAAAAGCAAACAAAAGGGAGGCGAATCGTTGGATAACGCCTTATTGAATCTACGGTTTCATTTTAAGATGAGAAGAGAATTTCATTTGTTTCTACCTTCTATGCCTTCTTTGCCATTTGCATTACTACTGACGCATTGGAATTAATTGTTTTTATTGTAAAACTTCCATCTGTTATTTTAATAGTAGAAAATTTTGAAAAGGTTCTATAAAATGGCACAAAATCAAGATAATGGTGCCAGGAATCAGTGTAATCTTTTTTTCTTTTTTTTATAACAACAACAATACAAATGGCTCAATTATAATTTTTACTGTACGCTTTTCTGCTCCATAGAAACGTTTTACAAATTAAATTAGCCGGAAGCGATTTCACAGAGCACTCGCTGGCACGCTGGTAAAAAAGGAAGAAAAATTGCTGTGACTTTGGTAACTTTGCAATTATCCGAGTGTTGTTTGTCTCCTATTTATTTCTTTTATTTGTGTGAAAGAAATTAAAGGTGTATCGCGTGGACATTTTATTGGACGTAGAAGGAAAACAGCAAAGAAAGTGACTGAGTAAATTGAAATTTATAAAACCACGCACGACCAATGGAAGTTACGTCTGCTGTAAAGTGGGGTCACTTAAAAAATAGGGTAAAAATAAAATCATTACCTTAGTTGATTGAATATCTATTCAGAATTTAATTTCTTCGTCTTTTTTTAGCATAGAAAGTTCATAAACGACGAAATTGAGTGTTGTAAATAAAAAATGAATTAATGATTCAATTTCTTCCGGTCTGAAGAAGACACAGCATCGTTCAATAAGGAATTAAAGACACATGAACGTTGATTTATGGTTACGAATACTACGGTTAATGAGCCTGATAGTCGGTATAACGACGCCACATTCATTTTAATCGAGTCGCGAGAAGAGAAACAATTTCTTCGTTTCACCGCGGGTAATAAAAGGACGCAAGGTCGTCGAAGCAATTGCATTCTGGAGATTAATTATCGATACGTAACAGAATTATTAACGCGTCCAGTCATTCTGATTCTTTATTACGACGCGTATAATTTTATGTCAATCTATGTCATTTTATTATTTTATTTCAACGACAATTAATTTTTCTTATTTTTTTATAAACACTGACAGCGTGCGTTTCTCACGAGACATGTGTCCCGTGTCTCCCATTCTTTTTATTTCGTTTTAAGTCAGTTTCGACGACGATTGAACACCCGCGGTGTGTTCTGTTTTATATTTCCTTCGAACCGACTGAAAACTACTAAACATTCCAGGCACGTACTGCTAGTAATACGATTTCCTGACTTTCTGACTCGCTTCCGAGACCCGTCTTCTGTAACACGATACTCTTCCCTGTTTTTGTTCTTTTCTTTCCTGTCGTACTATCTACCGGATAACACCATCTAAAACGATTTTCAATATGCACGTTTGTTTCCACGTTACAATGCTTTTCATTATTTGTCTTTTTCGCAGTTTTATTCAATGGAAATTCTACTGTTTGAAATCCTATCTTTTTCTTCAAAGTACAAAAGAAATATATTTTTTGAAAAATTCATCTTTAGTGCTCAAGACTGCAAGTTTGCGATTTTAAGTAGTATAGACCGCGCTTGGTCAGACCGCGCCGTGTGTATTTCATTCTTTACTACTTAACACGTTTACTGCCAGCGTTGCATATTTGTTTTTGATTTGCCAATGAAGACATTAGCGAATAACTTTTTAAAAGTATAAAAATTGACTCTTTATTAATAACTAGCTGACGGGACAGACGTTGTCCTGTCCAAATTTCAATAAATTTGTTTGTGATCGTTTTCTGAATTTGTGAAAAGCTATTGGAAATGTGTAAACAAAGTAGAAATGAGAAGAAAACGTATTTCTGAGTAATCATTGTATCTATTAACGATTGTGTCCTATAGAAAAACTTTTCCAATTTTTCTTTCCCTAAAAACCTTATTCGGGCTATTACAAACATTTTTTTTTTTTAAATTAGCCAAATCTCAGGTGATGCGCTTACCAACGAACGGCATTTAATTTTTATTTATATAGAAGATTCATATTATTGTGCTGTACTAGGTACGGCTATTTCAGCTGTGCCAGTCAACTTGTTAACAGCTTTTCTTTGTGTCGTCACACCTTCGGAAACCTGTTACTGGAAAATTGATTTCCCTCTGGACTCTCTTGTGTTCATAAGTAACGAGCTAATTTTCTTGTCGCCTGAACCTGTTACCACGTTTTTTTTTCATCTTCTCAGCGCTCCTTTGGCACAAATATAATCTCGCTCCCACCTAATTAAGTCGTGTAATGTTCGAGATGTTGTTTTTTCTTTCATGGTTTTACTTGTTCCTTACTTTTTTTCGCGATGCCAGTTCAGACAACATTAATTTCAGTAGACACTTACGTGTTTAACTACTCCATATAAAATGAAAGATATTACTTTTAGTCTTTTTATAACTGTCAATATTAACTTATTGACTGCCACTGCTGTAATAATAATGTAATAATTTTTTTTTTATAAATACGTAATTATACACGGGTCAATGTTTCTGACATTTTGTTTTTTTATTTCAAAGGTGAGATGAGTTCAACGGTAATGATCTTCTTCTTGGTAATGACCATGGCGGTCTTCTACAACGTATCTGCAGCTTTACCTACCCAATGTAGCCCTGGATTCCTCGACGACCTTCCACCAAGGATTCGCAAAGTTTGCGCCGCTTTATCCAGGATATACGAACTTGGTTCAGAGATGGAAAGCTATATCGATGATAAAGAAAATCACATAACAGGTATATCGTACTCAGTCATGTATACATTCGACAACAGGTGGTCAAAGTTTTAAGGGGCGATTCTAGGGATCAAAATAAGACGAAAATCAAGAATAACGAAATAGCGTTTGCGGCTTTGTTTTCCAGTAATTAACGTTTAAAAATTCCAGTAAAAAGCGCCTGAAACCTGCAATCCGCCCAGCACCGAAGACTGAACGTCAGGTCAGCAGGGGAAGGTACAGTCATAACCAAGAATCGTTGAATAGTAGAAACTTACCTTGTGCTATTCTGTTTCTTGGTACTGCAGCATTCGGCTTTCTCTTCTTGGTTATGACTGTACCTTCCCCTGCTGACCTGACGTTCAGTCGTAGGTGCTGAGCGGATTGCAGGTTTCAGGCGCTTTTTACTCGAATTTTTAAACGTTAATTACTGGAAAACAAAGCGGCAAACGCTATTTCGTTATTCTTGATTTTCAACTTATTTTGTTCCCCAGAATCACCCATTAAAATTTTGTCCACCTGTTGTCGAACACCCTGTATTAACACTATTTTCCTAATTTCTTTTTCAGTCAATAATTATTATCGTTATTTAACTTACAGGATTCCATGAGAGTATCCCATTGTTGGACAGCGGCGTTAAAAGACAGGATGTTGATCATGTTTTCTTACGCTTTGGAAAACGTGC